ATATGTCAACAGTGGGAATGAAAGGGTTATAGGGATACACATTCGGTAGAATATACCTGCGCCAAAATATCTCGAGCACAAACCCCAAATTCCTTGCACCTACGTCGCAATATACCAAATAGATACATAAATCATTAATTTGTAACGAGGCTTCGCGAAGCAGCGTTGAAAGCGTTCGTTACAAGGCGACCGCGACATTATTAATTTGCCAAGTCGCGTTTGCCGCAGCTCTACGCCGTTAAATTCGTTGTCCTGACTTCGCCGCGGTTCTGTTACGCGGGTAACAGTTTGCGGCCGCGTAACGAGACTTATAATTGCCAGAGTGCCACGCATCGCTGTGCATTATCGGCGCGCGCATCGAAATACATGATGCTCGGCCAAGTATACAGTGATAGTCAAAAGTAAGTATACACGCTATAAGAAGGTATAGATATTAAAAATCTATCTTTCATGTGCCTAATATGTATTGAAAATTGAAATTACTACCATTTGAAATTCGACTTTAATAGTTACAAAATCTCTTAAGTGTTCATTCATTGGCGCGTTTACCCTATAAATATCCAACTGTATTGGATTTCCGCTAAATGATTTTTCATTAACAATACGCCAATAGTGGAGATATAGATACAGGATGACAAAAAATAACGAATCACTACTGTAGTGGCTCTCTACTCTCTTCTATTTATTTACTGAGTGGATAGATATTCTCCCGTTGTTAGTATAACGACCAATAATAGTGATCGAAATACTCTATTCGCAGAAAAATTTATACTCATCGTTTGGGTGGTTGTACAGGAATAACACCTTTTGGCAAGCTCCGCGGTAGCTAAACGATTAAGAGGACTCCCATCAATGGTTATGTTTTAGCGGAAGAAAATCCATCCTTCGGTCTTCTTTCCGGGATAAAATGTTTTTATTAAATGTGCACAGAGGATGGAGGGCTGGCGCGCGGTCAGAAGGCAATGTTCGCGAAAGTAACGCGAGTTTTTGTATCGATGAGAAGATTTAGGAGCTAAAGTTGTTCTACCATCTCGCTGGAGATTTATAGTGGTAAACCCAGATCGAATTCTCAATACTTAACGAAAAAATTCAATAAATAATCGCTAACGCCTTATGCATAACAGATTTAGATTAGATATCAATTAAATTTAAGTATTTTAACGTAGCTGTTCTAACGATAAATTATTTTGTCAGTGTTAGAATAAATAAATAAAAGAATTATATAGTGGAAACAGTTGTTTCATAATCCAACAAATGCTGTTCTAAACTTCCTTGGTTACTCCATATTCCTGTAGCCGATACACGATTCGTTATCGCGTATTTCTGTCCCGACAACAATTAGAAGCAGTATCGACATTTTGTTACATTTCTATTGGATTACGAATACGGTGTTCGAATGAAAGAAATGAAAATCAAAACATTGATACAACAGAGTTTTTGGGGTAACAATAGTTCCACCTGTGAATTGTATTTGCGGTTTTCAAATATTATCACCGGTATTCGTAAAATCCGCGATTCAAAGACCCACGTTTGTCCTCGAGAGCAGCAATTTCACCTGCCGCACAGAAAGTGTCCCAGAGAGGCATCTTGAATGCCCTGGCGTGTCCAATTATTTTCGTATTTCTAGCAACTATGACTACGATCCCTCTTATCCAGGCGCGCTTGCATTATTTTTCCACCACGTCATAGACCTTCGTCTCACTTTCATAAAAATTCGTCGTACATGGCTAGACACTATAATAATTTAATGTTCAAACGCATTCCATTCATATTCACTTTATCAATTCAATTACATTTTTAGTCCCTGAATTAAACTGTACCTAAGCTAAAATCCATTTAAAAAACATACACATGTGCACTATAGGTGTCAAAATAATTTACAAATTTTTATGATAAAACAATAGAATTAAAAACCAACTACAAGCTTTCTATCTCTTCGACTCCACCAGCGCACGAGGGATAAATATCTTACTTTATCATCAAAGTATAAATTTATGCATTTGTATCGAAAATAATTTTAAAATAACTGCGCAAAGAACAACATTAAATAGACGAATATAGCCCATCCTGTTATTCTACTTTCCACGAAACGCTCTCCACATGAAAATGCAATATTGCATAAACATTTCCAATGCATATTTTCATCATCTGCCCCCAGAAATACAGAAGCCATCCAAGGAGACCCAATATTTTAAGTTGAATATCCCTTTGCAAAAATATCCCAGATGTTTTCTCCATACAATCTCAAAATCGATGGAAATGGGAAAATTCGATGTTCGAAGATCTTACGAATTTAACCAGTGTTCACCATCGAGAAAAAGATGAGCACAACGGTGGAGAATATTGGGGATGGGGGTTTCTATAAAAGCACGTACCTACATACGTGCATTTTCGAATGCAGTTTCGATAATCGATTCACGCGGAAGAATCGCTTTCGGCCGGTATCGGGGACACTGGGGTTTCTCCCAACAGCGTGGCGTGTGCATCTCTCTTCATGCATCGCTATGTCTAGCTGGACTGCATTATGCAATATGTCACCGGTCGAGGTCCATACGGGTCAGACACGTTGAAGGAAGGGACGGTACACACGCCCAAAGTTCCCGAAACGTTCGAATTTCCGGGGGAAATTGACTGGACACACGGCGGACGTTGCAGTTCCACGTGCAACAATTACAATTTGAAATTGAAGTTTAAAACCCGATCGTTCCCGACGACGGAATAATGAAAATTAATGTCACCGGGAACGTCCACGTGTCCGAATTGATTGGCAGAGACGAGCGAATTTTCGGATAACAGAACGGTTGCATTCCTGTGTACGAATTTATTCGTATCGAGAAAAATATAAACGTCACTCGAAACTGGACTATGAATTTGATGAATTTATTGGGCATACAATTGCTTAAACCTCGATATAACAGAGTGTAAAAAATGCTAACAGAAGGCTCGAAGAGTTTCTTTACACAAACCGTTCCATGATAAAGACATTGTAGTGGTTGTAAGGTTCCAGACTCACGACTACTAACAATTTATGGAATACATTAATTTTTCTTAATAAATCATAGTGGTCTTATAGAAATTTCGCCCACTGTAGGTTCGGAATAAAAAGACAACCCGAATAAACTATCTGAAACTTTTCGCTACACTGATTATTAGACGGTTGGATACATGGGTGTAGCCAGATTATCAATCAGGATGGGAAGCGCAAAAATATCAACACACTGCCACGGTAAAAAAATCTGTACGTACCCAGACAAACTTTATTTTGTTTTTAAAGTCGTAACTCGTTGAAAATCTATGGATTTTGTTAATAGAACCAGTTGGTCGTGTTTCAAATTATACTGCAAAATCAAATCTTACGCAAAAATTTAACAACTCTGGGAAGGGAAGGAGAGGGGGCAAAATCCAATTTTTTTTTCGTAAAGTGGAGCAAAACCCACTTTTTTCCGGCCAGGGGGGGGGGGCAAGTGCACCCCCTGCTCCCTCTCCTGGCTACGCCCATGGTTGGATATTCTATAAATGCATAAAATCCGCAATCTAATAATATGTGAATGACAACTACACCTTCAAGTTAAAATTCATTACTAAAACGAACACAAGGTAAAACATAAGATAGAAAAACACTTCGGAAAATACGTCCAGAATCCAATAACGCGGATGGCATCGCGATACAGTCAGTAGCTCTCAAGCAAATTTCACGTAGCCGTATTTACCCCGATGACGATCGGTGTACCGATACTGAAAATCTCAGCACACAGTGAACCTGGGGCACGATTGACCCGGACGGATGGTCGATGGAACGATCGTGAAACCTCGAGATCAGACTTCCACAGCCGTTCCGCGTTCGTTCCCCGTGGTTCTCGTCGGGGAACGATTGCCAATCGACTCGATCCGTCGAGAATCGAGTAATTTAGTGGAGTGTATGCCGAAAGCGAGAGCACGGTTTCCCCGGCTATTCGAACAAGCTGCATTCGTTACCGTGGACTCTTTTTTTGCCTCTTCGCGTTCGCGGTTCTTTGCCCGTTCACCTCACGATGCATCTTCTGACGAGTGGCGTCGAGTTTCAAGAGCCAATCATCGTCCGTGTGCAACCAATTTAAACCGTATCGCGTCGATGCAGTGGTGAACAACGAGCTCGATTATGAGCATTGATCGTTTAACACTCGAACGATTTTGGTCCAGTCGATTTTGACCCAGGTTTCGAACTTCCTGCACTTCTTTTTTATTGTCCTCGATCATTTTGTATTATTGCACTGGTAAGACGGAGTAATACTGAACGAGGGCTAGATGACTGTCCCCTATTTCTCTAGCTCACGTCCCTACTCCCCCCTTCTCAAAAACAGTTACTGAATATTATTTCAGGGGACAGTGCTATTTTATACGATTTTGCCGCATATTCGACTTTCAATGAGACGGGTCAGTAATAATAACAATAACATTCGCGTGCTAAGCTCAGCTATTAGCTGGCAACTGTCTCCGTCCCTGACCCACGTAAATGGTCATCAACTCAGTTTGTTGATTGTTACTGACTCGACTCGTTGGATGATATATAGTTACAATCTGGTTTCTGTCTTACTAAGCAGAAATCAGTGTATCACTTTAATCCGACGTCTTACTCCGATAATTAAACGAAGTTATACTAAGCCGAAAAATACTGAAAAATTCTATTCTATTATTTCTTTTTCTGCAGTCATCCGATATGATCTAATATTAAATAACATTACTTATACTGGGATCGATTGTACGCAAACATTACCATGATTAATACTTAAAAGTAGAAACACTCAATAATAGTCACAGACGGTCCCGTTCACACCCCGAAAAACAAATTAAAAGAATCCAGTAAAACTTGAGTCCACTTAAAAAAAAAAAAAAAAAAGTCCACAATACACAGACCATGGACTCCTAAGAAACGTCGCTGCATTTGCTCGCGCAAACGTACAAACGTATCGACTCGTCAATGTATGTACTGTAGATAGTCGGAAGGCGACGTGGATGGTCGATTAAAAATTCACATCGTCCAGCTCACGCACTAGTTTCAGACTGACTTCCAGGGTGCTAGTGTCGGTGTGCCACTTGGCGGACGAGGTGTTAGGATCAACTGGATGCGGCGTCGGTAGGTGCAGCCGATATCTAGAAAATCGTGACTGGCTTTACGCCCGGCGAGATTTACAACCTCGTAAAATTGTCAAAGAAATTCCGGGCCCTGTCCCTCCCCCCGAAGTCAAAGCAATGAAACTCGGTGGGATCGTCAATAAATTCTTTCCCCTCACCTTGGGCTTCGCACGTCGATCGTCTCGGACTCCACGGTGAGCTCGACTTTGTCCCGCGACTCGTGGGGCATCTTCACCGACACGGACAGCCATTCGCAGGACGCAGTGCCAGGTGTTTTAAAACCGATCTAAATACGCCCGACGTGTTTGTTAAGAGCAGCGACTTGTACCGAAACGTGAAATACCGGTAGTATCGATTGTACCTTCGCCTTATATAACCCTATATAAACCGTACCCTTAAGGAAACCGAAAAAATACCGATATTTATATCAGTAAATGTTATTAATATTATCTATCTTTACGATTGTACCTTCGCCCTATGTAACCCTATATAAACCGTACCCTTATAGAAACCGAAAAATACCGATATTTATATCAGTAAATGTTATTAATATTATCTATCTTTACGATTGTACCTTCGCCCTATATAACCCTATATAAACCCTACCCTTATAGAAACCGAAAAGTACCGGTATTTATATCAGTAAATGTTATTAATATTATCTATCTTTATAATTGTACCTTCGCTCTATGTAACCCTATATAAACCCTACCCTTATAGAAACCGAAAAGTACCGGTATTTATATCAGTAAATGTTATTAATATTATCTATCTTTATAATTGTACCTTCGCCCTATGTAAACCTATATAAACCCTACCCTTATAGAAACCGAAAAATACCGATATTTATATCAGTAAATGCTATTAATATTATCTATCTTTACAATTGTACCTTCGCCCTATGTAACCCTATATAAACCCTACCCTTATAGAAACCGAAAAGTACCGGTATTTATATCAGTAAATGTTATTAATATTATCTATCTTTACAATTGTACCTTCGCCCTATATAACCCTACATAAACCCTACCCTTATAGAAACCGAAAAGTACCGGTATTTATATCAGTAAATGCTATTAATATTATCTATCTTTACAATTGTACCTTCATTTTTCCGAATTGTCCTTTTATTAAACTTATTGTAATTAAATTCTCAAAAATGTATATCAAGTAAATATATTTTTACATTCAATGATATACTTTTATCAGTTTTATTATAATTGTTATTATTTATATTTTAGAATTACATTTCAGAAAAGTCATGTTTTTTGACAACTTATTATTTTTGAAAATGGTATAAGTCCATTTGCGGTTAATAAAGACACAAGTTTCACTTACAGAATATTAACGAAAATGGTGATATAATAAAATTAAACGTGTCTGAAATCTTAAAAGTATAAAACAAGCTTATTAACGTTTAATACTATTTTTAAATAGAGTAGAATGCTAAGATTAAATATCCCGAAATAAAGAAAAGTGGATTTATACCTTTTTTTTTAAAAAAAAAGGCTCAATCAATGGTAATCGTATGGAAGTAAGGTCTGATTTGGATCAAAAATGTGGTGAAAGTTCCTGTCCAATTAATAGATAGAGTGAAAAAGTGAAAATAGTATCTAATGCAACTAATGAATATTAATGTCCCAGAAACACTAAACATTGAATTGACTATAGAAAAGAACCATGAACGTAGACACGAGACAGTGTTCAATCGCATGCGGGACTTACAGCACGAGGGAAAGATTAATGTACGCGAAACTAAAATTCTCGAGAAGCAACACAACATTGCAACCATCGATTATTAATAACCTCTACGTAATCAGCGAACAGGGAAAAAAATTCTATCTTTTAACATGCCACACAAATCATGCATTCTATTCAGACTTCTTCTGTTGTGAAACAACTACATTCTAATTGCTAACGATCTGTGGATTTCTAACGGCATTAACGTCGTCGATTCATTACCAAGGCCGGAGTTTAAGTGTGAAAGTTAAGTCAGACGCTAGATTCAAGGAAGAAGTCTGAAGCTACAGTGATTGGATGTCGAAGATCGTGCACAATGAGAAGATTATTTGAAAAGGGAGGGAAAGATTTAAACGACTTAACGAGAACATCGAATTACAGTAAAATCTGTTTTTGTGCGGTCCTTTTTTATGCGATTTGTTTTGTGCGATTTTATTTTTGTGTGATTTTTTTTGTGCGATTTTTTTTTATGCGTTATATGAATTTCAACGGCGTTGGCATTACTGTAATGTTTTCTATCAGTGTACATATAAATATGCACTTCAAGACGCTCTGTTCATTTGGTTTAAACAGTTTCCCGACAATGTACATTCAATTATTTTCGCTCGACGCGCTAGCAGCATACGCTTTGTATTCCGAGTTTTATCCACGACTCACGTGATTAAGGATTCATTTTATAGTGAGATTAAAGGTAAATAAATTAATTACTTTTGTTTCTATTTGTATATAGTTTTTATGATTTTCATTTTATTTTTAAACATATGTACTCCCTTAAAATGAATAATTGTAGCCAAAAAAAAGTGAAAAGAAAGACAATTCCATTAGAAACAAAAAATCTAATATTAAATAGACTAGCAGATGGTGAACCAATTCATCACAAGAAGATGCGCGTTAAGGATTACGACGACTAGCAGTGAATTATGTAATGTGCATTTTGAAAACTTCTCCATGTCTACAATGAAAAATTAAATGTTTTTATAATGTGTAATTTAATTATTTATTTTGTTTGGAAGCACTTTCTCATGTATTTCGTAAATAATTGACGTATTTTCTAAGTGCGACTTTTTTTATGCGGTCCCTCTCCGCCGCATAAAAAAAAAATTTCTGTAGTATGTCGTACCAAGTTGTTTATCATATGTAGTATTTATGAAATTTCCGAATATTTTTTTGTGCGGTTTCTTTTATGCGGTCCCTATCTACCGCATAAAAACAGGTTTTACTGTATATAGAAAATCCAATAATAGAAACGCGGAAAGCTCAACGAATTTACGGTAGAAGCCGAATGGAACAATGAAAAGGATCACGTGAAATGATCAGAGACAGAAAATGTTATGGAAAAATAGGCCATGGGATGTGATATGAAAATTCAAATAGCGTGGCAACAGAGTCAAGAAAAATGGCGGAAGTAGTCGAATGATAAGAGGGAATGCGTGATAGCCTTCGGCAAACAATAGATTTTACTCTATTGCAGTAGGGAATATCGGTGTGGTACTAACGCCTAAAAAGACATCCTGTGCCGTCACTGCCTGCTTAAATTTCATCTCGTATTCCGGCACCTCTCTCGGATCATAGGTTTCGGAATTCTGTACGGCGTCTACCTCAGACGGATGCCAAATATCATCAGTCTTTCCTTTCAGCGGTGCATGCGGCCCGGCGTGTTTCCCGGATGTCGCATTTTGAGTCCCGATATCACCAGGTCCTTAAAAAACGTTCGCCTTCGGATGACGTGTACTAGATACTATTCACCCTATACGCGTGATTTCTAACAATTCGAAGCGTGAAACGCAAGAGAGAAATGTAATCCGTAAAGAAATTGTAGAGTCATTAACACTTTATTCTAATTTAACATAGCATTATGGTGTCAAATAATTTTGATTTGCCTTGTTACAAGCTTATGAACAAGCGGAAGCAAAGTTATAACTCGTTTCTAGTAGCCATGTCTGGAAAATAGTCTGACTTACCATGTATTTATTAGTGGCTTTCAATTATATCCAACTTGTTAATAAACTTAAGAACAGAGTATTTCTTATACAAAAGTTAGTAAAAAATGTAGAATACCTTTTTAAATGTGATTAAAGTTGTCTGTTTTAAAGGAATCAGATTTTCATGAGTTTTAAATTCAAATAGAATGGATCGATGAATGTAGCCACCTACCGGGGAACAGTGTGAACTAAGATGCTTCCTGAAAGTTTGCAACTAGCTGTACGTTTGAGCTAATTTGATTTATTGTGCAGCTGTTACATTAACCGTGCAATAATGTATGTACTAGAAATTTTGAAGAACAACTAATGAATAAAACAATCTCCAAATGTACATATACGAATTTAAAGAATCTCTTATGTTAACGACTATCGGTTAGAACGACTTACGTATCTCTAGAGATAACTTCACTTCATTTATTGTATCAATTTTGCATTATGTACTGGTATTATTCAAATAAAAAATACATCAATATAATACCATTAATTTAGACAGAATAGACCAACTGGCGATATAACTGGACGGGGGACTATTTTTTTAGAAAAGAATGAATAAAAAATACAAAACAAATTGTTTTCATCAAAGGCATTAGAAGTTACATTTTTCTCGAAAACACAACTACTTTTCCCACATTTTTTTAAAGTTTGTACCGCGAGTTTGTTCTCACCTTGTATGCACAGTTATATGTAGAATGTGTATACACAGCACCTCAAAAATGATGGAAAAATACGCGAGCAGTGAACTTCTTGTTTTTGAAAATTTAATTGTTGTATCAATTTAAACAATTCTGCATAGCAATATACATAATTCAAGAAGAGAACTGTACCCGAATAAATTGTACATTGCACCATCAACGAGGTATAAGAATCTTATACCTCGTTTTTGATTGCACATAATAACGATTACATTTTGAAAACTGTTTTACTAACCAAGTTTCCGTGCACCAGCTTGTGGTAAATCATCTTCAGAATCTGAATCATCCTGCGACGAATTAATTAACTTCTGTAATGCCTTCAATTCTTGGAATCCGAGACAACCGTCCATTTTCTTCAATACGTATAAACACTTTTCACCGAAACGATTGATTTCAAAGGCACGAGTCAACAGATATCGTTGCTACGATACCGGACTTTAAATGTTGTTAATTATTGACAATAATCACGCACAAAGTAGTAAGAAATTGTTATTTTTATACGAGCTCCACTATGCTTCACGCAGCACTACCAAATATTTGAACGGAAACAAAATTAAACCGACTTAATTTAAAATTAAACTGACGCGCGAATGTCGAAATAGCTGTATACCTACTTGACCCATGAAAACTTTTTCCAGGTTGGCCAACTAACGCAGGAGAATCCTTTCCACAGAAGTTTACCAACATGGCGGACACAACGGGTGAAAAGTTATCAAAAAAGTGAGTAAAATAACGTTACCGAGAGAAAATCAGATTCAGGTGCTTACTTTTTTAAGCCTACATCAGATTATCTCTTATCTATGTCTATAGTTGTAGCATAACCTACATAGGGCAGTAACCTATGTTATAATTTCACCGTCCACGTTGTTTCATGAGCAACTGTCTGCGTTGATGTATATTTTTTCAAATGCTAAATAATCATATCTTGAAAAAGTCTATGCTTATAAATAATTATATATATATACATGTATATCAATTGTGATTGAAATAGCAACAATAGTTATAATTCACTATGCTACACAACATAACCAAGACTTGTATTGGTGTAGTACAGCCGGTACTCACTAGCGCAAAGTCAACAAAGTTGCATCAGATATTTGTACGTCGTTTTCACATGAAGTGCGTACAAGTTAAGCAGGACTTCACTTGTGTAAACAGTAGATGAAAACATTTGCTCATTATAATCATGATTACAGTGAACTGAAAAGACGTTTAAAGGCAGAACAAAAATTAAAAGAAAAGGTAGAGAAAGAAGCAAAGGTAGCCATTGCAGCAGCAACAGTGAGCGAAGTTAAACCTCGTGAAAAAAAGGATACTACAGAAGAAGAAATTAGTCCAAATGTGAATAATAATATTAGTTTGAAAATAAATCTCATAAATAAAGAACTTATTCTATATGAAATTAACATTACATTGTTTCATTTGTAGGAATACATTAAACTTAGGACACAAGCAGTTACTCATCTTAAAAATGCCAATGATAGCCCATATCCACATAAATTTCATGTATCAATGTCATTGGAAAATTTCATTGAGAAGTTTAACGATAGTTTGAAGGACGGACAAGTATTAGAGAATGAAGTACATAGCATTGCTGGCCGTGTGCATGCAATTAGGGAATCTGGTGCTAAACTTATTTTTTACGACCTCAGAGGAGAAGGTCTTAAAATACAAGTCATGGCTAATGCAAGACATTATGCTAACAAAGAGAAATTTGTCACTGATATTTCTAAAATTAGAAGAGGTGATATTATTGGTGTTGTTGGAAATCCTGGAAAAACTAAAAAGGGTGAATTTTCTATCATGCCGCATAATATTACCCTTTTAAGTCCCTGTTTACATATGTTACCAAACCTTTACTTCGGACTAAAAGATAAGGTGTGAAGAACTAATACTTTCATTCTAGAATACATATGGTTTGTGTAACTAATAATAATTGTATTACTTTTAATTAATTAGGAAACAAGGTTCCGACAGCGATATTTAGATCTGATACTAAATGATAAAGTAAGGAGAACATTCCATGTGCGAGCAAAAATCATCGCATACGTTCGTAAATTTCTCGATGAACACGGTTTTTTGGAAGTTGAAACACCAATGATGAACATGATTGCTGGTGGTGCTACAGCCAAACCATTTATTACACATCACAATGAATTGAATATGGATTTGTACATGCGTATTGCTCCAGAACTATACCTTAAAGTAATAAACACTTCTATATGTTTGTAGTTAATAATTACATGCGAAATTGTATTAGTAAGATACCATTTATCCTTTTAGATGTTAGTTGTTGGTGGATTCGATAGAGTGTATGAAATTGGAAGACAATTCAGAAATGAAGGAATTGATTTAACACATAATCCAGAATTTACTACTTGTGAATTCTATATGGCTTATGCAGACTATAACGACCTAATGTCGATTACAGAAGATATGATATCTGGAATGGTGAAAACCATACATGGTAGCTATAAAATAACATACCACCCTGAGGGGCCTGAGGGAGAAGCAGTGGAAATTGATTTTACTCCACCTTTTAAGCGTGTTTCTATGATGAAGACTTTGGAAGAAATGTTAAAGGTGAAATTACCTCCAGCAGATGAATTAAATACACCAGAAGCGAATCAGATGCTCAGTGAACTCTGTGCCAAACATGAAGTTGAATGTCCTGCACCCAAAACAACTACCAGATTGTTGGATAAGGTATGACTAACATGAAGTTTCGAAATTATGGATATATATGCCTACTACATATATATATATATATACATATATTGTTAACAGCTTGTTGGTGAATTTATAGAAGAAAGTTGTATCAACCCCACATTTATCTTAGACCATCCTCAAATTATGTCTCCACTAGCTAAATGGCATCGTTCTGAAAAGGGTCTCACAGAACGATTTGAATTATTTATTATGAAGAAAGAAGTCTGTAACGCGTATACAGAATTGAATGATCCTATAGTGCAAAGAGAGAGGTGTGTTTAAAATTAGCGTTACATTATTTCAGTAAACAATTTTTATTAATTTCAATTTGACCATCAGAACAAACACAATTTCTTCTATTTTTATACAGGTTTGAACAACAAGCCAAGGATAAAGCAGCTGGAGATGATGAAGCACAACTTATTGACGAAAACTTTTGTACCGCCTTAGAATATGGTTTACCACCAACAGCTGGTTGGGGACTGGGGATCGATCGAGTTACTATGTTCCTTACAGATTCTAATAACATCAAGGTAACTATTTACATGCAAAGAATATGAATGAGACTAACAATGATAATAAATTTGTATGTACGATTTTAGGAAGTACTGCTATTTCCACAAATGAAACCAGATGATCCAAATAAGAATAAAGATGTTTCTGAAGATGATAAAGCAACTACCAAGAACACAGAAAACAACGTGGACAAATGAAACAAGATCTTATGTTTGTGATCTTAAATTGTGTACCAGTGTTTTAACAATGAATGTGAACTCAAAACAATAAATAAATTATACTTCCAGAAATTACTGGTAAACTTCAACATTTCACATGTTTATTTCATACCTTCGTAATATATTACTTACCATGAAAATAGTACAAATCTATTAAGAACACATACGGAAAATATCAGTACATACTTGCATATACAATTTTAAGGTTTCAGCTGTAATAAGTTTCTTTTAAATCTTTAATTATTAAAGTTCGATGTAAAATTAAACATTTGTTATAAAATTGTAAACGATAACTAAAGATCATTAGATATTTACAGTATAACTTCGGAGGAAGCAAGTACTGAACAATGTGTACTTGCAATTCAGTGGCAGCTTGTTTATATTGTCAAATATTTAAATAATAAATAAATAGAATTCATACATTGATGTAATATCTATTTACAAAAAACCTCAAAGGAAGACCTATTCTTTCATGTTACTTTAATACCTTAAATATAACTTATTATAACTACGAATTTTTTTAAGTATGCGGCTAGTATTTGAGTTACCAGAGAAACGGTGAAACAAAAATTTAAGACTGATATGTTTCCTGGACACTTGAATTGTGGCAGCACGTTGAATGGTTCATACATTTTATCTTAGTAAAATGTAGTAAGAAATTACATACTCAATTTCCTCATTACAGAGTGTAGCAGAGAAAAATATTTATCTTCATCAGCTTTCTTCTTCTTGAACATATTTTGTAACAGAATTATAATGGGCACCTAGCTCATACATATGACGATGATAAGTTAATATCATCTTTTTTCCCTTGCTATAATCATTGCCAACAATATACGGTGTACCTGATGCCTGAATTACTTCAATCGGGCATTTCAATACATGTGAAAGAACTTGCAGCTATTTCAAATAAATTAAATAAGTATGATTCTTAAAAACTTTGCTATACACACATCAACTTAAACTTACTTCAATTGCACCACCCCAAACACTTGTATCAGCCACATCATTACAATACTTCTCATACTGTTCTGGTGAAAGAAGATCATCAGAATCTGGATTAGAAATGAATGGTAAAAATTCATTCATATGTTCCCTCAAATATGTAGCAGTTTTTGATCTCAGTTCATTAAAACTCAATGGGGCCTTTTCTACTACTTTCAGCTGATGTGTAATTGCATTATACAAACTATAAAAATCATGTAATTAATATAAAATTGTAAATATTTACAATTAACAGGGAATAAATACTTTACAAATAAATATTATACCAATGGCCATCACTTGGAATTTCATAAATCATTAGATCACGTTCCTGAAGAATTTTCTTTATGGTTTGTAATTCTACATTTCTTTTACCAAACACATTTAACGCTTCTTGCTCTACTATTCTTTGATTACGTTCTCTTTCTGCATTTGCCTTTTTATCTCTTCTTTTCTGTGCTTTTGAAATTCTGTGCATTGGTTGCTCATTCTGCTTGTCATCTGTTTCTATATTACTGTTATTTTCTATGTTTTCATCTTCTGTGTTATTAATATTAAGTTGTGCAACTTGCCACCTAGCTAATTCTTCTTCATGCTTTTTTTCTAAAACATCTTCCAAATGACTGACTTCCTCAGTAACTTCTTTCTTTTTCTTTTTATCACCCTTACATATTGACTTCTTTAAGTTTTGTATTTGTGCTAAGATTTAAAATATCATCACTAAATAAGTTTATACTGGAGAAAGAAATGTCATACAAATCTTATTTATTTAATGTGATAAAATACTAACAGCGGGAAGCACATAATACATAAATGTAACGTTTAAAACGGTATGTATTACAAATGGAACAGCAAAAATTAAATGAAAAATATTGAAGTCTGGAACTGTTTAATTTAATTACCTTGTAGTTCTTTCCGTTCTTTTTTATGTTTTTGTACTAAATCTTCCTCCGTTAACATTAATTCTGCCATTTTGAATTTAGAGGTTACTTAAAAAGCAGAAATTTATTTTAAGGTTAAGGAGAAAAGTATCAGACATGATGGCCAGGCAGTAGTAATATTCCACGGCATTTTCATGAATCCATTTCCAGTTTTGATGTGATATTAGGTATAGCTTAAATTCTCCTCTTTTGACTTAAGCCGAATATCTAAGAATTATTGACAATTTTTTTTTAATGAACGGTCATATTGTTTTAATAACAAAAAATTAATTAATTAAGTACTTTTAATGTTTCGAATTTGTTTTTCGGATGTTCATAGAATGTTTTTAATTAAATAATTAATTTAACGTTTAGTAAATTCTAAACGTTATCTATACCACATAAATCGAATGATGTATTTTATGGGTTTCATAGAAACGTGATTAAAGAGGCTATTTACAAATGCATTTATGGCACAAGCTATTCATCGAAAAGTGGACTTATAGTTCACTATATAGGCGTTTAGTCGTTAAGTTACCTTGATGAGACAAAGTGTTACGATTATTTTAATTGTTTAGCTAATTATTAAATTGTAAAAATGGCAACAGACGAGAATTCTTGGAGAACGCAAAGTTTTCGACAAAGTGTAATTGCGAAAATGTAAGTTGACTTACACTCAGAAATTTTAAATGGAGAGATATTTTGATTAACATGATTCGTATAATGTACATTAAAGAATAGAACGGCACAAGAATCGTACGGTGTACCATTTTTCTACAAAATTAAAAAGCATACATTCGTATACGTAAATAAATAAGCCCTTGTATTTACTGAGTATTTTCTACACAGAGATGAAGCTGTACAGATGTCTGGAATGCCCATTACCAGAAATAGTATTGATATGGAAAATCATGTTTTTCAAAAGGCAAAAACTAAGGTTTGTTATAGTTTTCTTTTTTCCCTTGTATGTATGCATCAGAAATATTCTAATAAGACATTCAACTTCATAGACATAAATGTTTATAATTTCTCCTACTCTTTGATAAGTTCTGAATTAACTTCTGTAATCTTATATTTCAAGTATTAAAGTAAATATCAATGATGGACCTTTTTTATTGCAGGAAGAATATTTAGGTTTTGTAGCCAGGCTGATTCTACATGTCAGAGAACTAAGTAATATATACATACAATATATTTCATTGTGTACATAAAACTAGAATATAATCAATTAATTTTGTTATATTGTACTATTACTTTTCAGATTCTAAGAAAGGTGCAGGAGCTGCTGCACCAGGTGCAACAGGCTCTGGAAATCAAGGAATGCCAGATCCTATTGGGGCACTGCAAACATTAGCACGTCAAGGAACTGGTAATAATCAAATGATGAACATGAATGGACCAGGACCTAATCCTCAAGGAATAATTCCTCAACCACCGGCAAATACAGCCACAAATCGTAAGTTTATGTACTAATAAAGCTATAAATAATTTATATGAAATAATTATATCTTTATCTATCTAGGAAATTGTTTAAATAAAATTATTTTTGTGTTAAAAATTTTTTTACTGCATCGAAAGAGGATGTTTTATGTATTATACAATGTATAACACATTTGGATATATTTCTATTAGTTTCTACTATAAATTTATAGATATTTGTGTATATTTTACTGGACTTAATTTTTATGTACTTACATAACTTTATTTCATATTTACATTAACAAAGTGTTGTAAACCTTTTTCAAGGGGCCATTTCTGACGAGTGGAAATAAGTGAATTTCAATTTTCAAATGCCTGATGGCGTATGATGGTAAATACACATCAACTTCAGAACACTCCTGTTTTTTTTGTTTTATTCGTCAATTTCTTGTCTACAACTTAAATGATTGTAATTAGGAAAGTGTGATTATTTTTTAGTATCAGGAGAGTTAACAAAAAATAAAAGCTGGAGAAAAGAAATATTTTTCTATAATTCATATAAAAAATTGATAAATTAATGTATCCCTGCCACGAACAATGAAAACGTTCTCAACATGACAAATCAGAAAAAAACTGTTTTGATATATATGTATCTAAACCAGAGATGTGTACCTAAAGTTAGGTTGTTTTCTTGATCATTTGTTACCTGGAGTATTTTTTTATCCTGCCCCCTTAAATTCAAAATTTTTCAACTTTATATAATATAATTTGAAACATTGTTTTACTATGTATCATTTCAAGTCACATAAACTGTAAAGGTCATGGTGTGAAGAAGGGTTTGTGCATCATAACAACTTAATCAGAGTAACATTCAAGTTTGAAGTTTCCTTTTACATGAAGAACTTCTCTAAAAGTAAAATACTTGAAGAATCTACTACATTTAATATTATAATGTTCGAAATTGACTGGATATTTTCATGTTATAGAGAATCAAAACTTAACCTAGTCTCTGCTATTATAAAAGTTTATTAAGTTGTCTTTAATTTCTATATCACAGTTGCAACAAAGATTGAAAATATGGAAAGATTAACAAACATGTATTACTCACAGTATGAGAGTTCTATAGAAAGTGAACCTTCATATGATTCAGATAACGTGGATACATATATAAAATTAATTCAGTCACCATCTCAAACTGAATTTCGAGAGTATATAGAACTCAGAATGGATGAAGAATTACTACATGAATCATGGAAGCAAAAAATACGCACATGTAGAAACCTTGTAAAAGAGATTAAAGAGCAATGTGGCATGGCAGTTGACCTAGCAGATAGTAGAGTACGTTATATTTATAAACCTGTCATTAATAATGCTCGTATACCAGGAATTAAGTTCAGATTAACATTTGTATACATTAAACTATTACGCAAATGGTACATCAGTTTAGGACGCAGTCGAATACCAGATGCGATAGGTATCTGTGAAATACTAAAACAAGGTACTTATGATCCTACTGGGCCAAATGTCCTTGACCTTGTGCGTAAATTGAAAAGCTTATTACAGATTTATGTGCAAAAACTATTATATACATATGATGTGATTGATGAAATGAAAGATGCACACAAAGGTATAGGATTTCAAGTCGATCAGTCTCTAACATATCTAAAAATATTGTTGAAAGAAAAATGTTGGCCTAAAGACTTAAAACAAACAAGCCCCGAAGACATTCTTATTTTACTTCTAAATTTGGATGAAAATCTTGAAGTTACAGACGTTACCTACGAATATGTACAGGGTGGTGAAGTATCTAAAAACATAAAAAAAAATGTTTAAGTAAATTGGATAAAAAAGTACATAACTTTTTTCACTTCCCTTTAATGGAAGCAATTGATATGTTTCTAACAGAAGAAACAGCTATTACAGATGGGAGTTCTGAAGAAGTATCATCGTCATCTAAAGATAAATTATGAGATCCTACCATATTTAACAATATGCTTTTTGTTTATAGCTGTGAAGCTACTTGAATTTTCTAATCTATTATTGTTTTTCACGATATTATTTATTTTGTTATATAAGTGCATTATGAAATAAAATGGACATATTACAAATATTAGCCGGACACCTTGATTTTCACTAAGAACCAGGCTCCTTCGAAATTCTGGGGTAAGTGCTGTGCGGTCTCAACAGTCTTCTTACTGGAAAGCACCCTTGCATCCCCTACTTCGTGGCCAGATCCTTCAGGAACAATGTCCTTATTCTTAAGACAACGCAACGACGGGTTGCTTGCCATCTCTAACTTCCACTCATCTGTTTCTCATAAACAAGCCTACATCACCGATAGCCGAATGACCCAACGTGGTCTTCCGCCATCGTGCATCTTTCAAGACCGCACGCATTCAAAAACCCTATCATAAATCTTCTAAGGGTCAATGGGCGACAGGCCATATGCCATCGACTTTATTGAAAACACTTTGACACTAACAGGCAAATACATATTTTCTTGAAGAAAGTAGTGGTTGTGTTAATTTATCTATGTAAACACCTTACTACAATGATAATATTTCAATAGATGCAAGTTTTTTTTGTAAATAAATATTAAAAGGATAATATACTTATAAATTGTTCTACAGCAATTTACATTGTAGTATTTATTTGTATTAGTGTTGCAAAGCTTAAATCAACGCCCTGGACAGCCTATGGCCATGCAAGGGATGCAAAATAAAATGCCAGGAATGGGTATGATGCCTGCTCAAACCACTGGTCCAATAGGTCACATGGGCACAATTCCGAACATGCAGAATAATTCAATGTTGACACAAATGAATCAAATAGGACAAGGAAACATGCCTCAACAAATGAATCAAGTTGTTCCCAATCAAATGGGACCAATTCCTACTGGACAAATGCAACAAAATATGCAAGTATGTATCTATCTTGATAAGGAAACAGAAAGGGTGTTTTCTAATGTGTGAGACTTATTTAATAGTGAATGATCACTTCAGTCAAAGTGAATATAACTGGTTTACATTGTTACCACTTTAACCCATTAGTTAACACTTTAAAACATTATGAAACACTCTGTGTATTTTTCATTTTTGAAACAAGTGTAAAAATAAGTTATGAAACATACTTTTTTACAGACACAAATGCAAAATCAACTATCCAATCAAATCGGTAATCAGATTGGTGGATCCATGAGTGGGATTCAAACTAGCATGCCACAACAAATGAGTCAAATTGCTCCAGGACAATTAGGTCCGGGTCAAATGCAGCAACAACTAAACCACATGCAACGAAAGGTACACAAATGTAGGATAAGTCTGTAATTACTTAAATAATTCAGAAGAACTAACAATTCTATTGCAATAGATGTGTTAATACATACTAAAGACACTCTGTATATGAAACATTACATTCTAAAGTTAGTTTAAAATATGTATGTACATTATTATTTTTAGCCTGGTGAAATGATAAACACCGGTTTTCCAGGCCCTAGAAATGTTACAGCAAATCAGTTTCTACGACAAAGCCCATCTCCATCAGCCCCAAGTCCAGCTGGTTTAGGTGCACCATCGAGGTTATTATATTGGAATACTTTTTACGAATGCATTACTAAATTAATACATGGTTAAAAACATTAAGCGTTAAAAAATATGTGTTACAGTAATCAGATGGTAGCATCTCCAGCATTAGTTCCGTCACCGAGTCCACAACACGCTATAATGGCAGGCGCACAACGATCTGTGGGTATGTTAAAATTATTTTCTGTACTAAACATTAAAATTATTAACTGACACTAATGACAATAACATATAATATATTTAATCCAGGTATGGCACCGTCGCCCAGTAGTTCGTTGAACACTCCTGGAGGAGTAGGTGCTACTCCAAGTCCACAACAAGAAGACCAAGCATATAGGGAAAAAGTTAGGCAATTAAGCAGATATATCGAGCCTTTACGGAGAATGATTGCCAAAATGGGCAATGAAGGAAGTAAGTTATTACTAATACATATTATACATTAAAGAATTACTAATGAGCATTATTAACAGTACATATGTGCACAGATGTATTACCAGTTGTATGAATTTATTTTATAGACGTCGATAAACTAAGTAAGATGAAAAAGCTATTAGAAATTTTATCGAATCCCAGTAAACGCATGCCAATGGATACATTACTGAAATGTGAGGTAGTTCTTGAAAAAGTGGACTTTAAGAGAAGTGATGCGAGTGTTGGGCCCCCCGTAACGACCCTTAAAGAACATCACTTCTTCAGTCCACTTTTGGAAGCAGTAAGCACACATCTCCAGAGTCCTGTAGTAAATCATACACTTCAGAGGACTTTTGGACCGTGCTTGGAAGCTTTATTTGGTCCAGAGATAAAGTACGTAGTACTCACATTCTATTTATGATTAATTTCATTATGAGTTGCTATTAATGAAATTGTTTTTGTGAAAATAGAAGTCTGCCGCCACCATTAAGGAAGCAGAAGGTAGAAGAATCGCCTAGTGAGATACCAGATGTATTACAGGGTGAAATAGCTCGATTAGATCAACGATTTAAGGTGGTGTATTTGCTTTCATATTACATTGTCTTATCTAATGTGCAAGTTCACATCACATTTTTGTATGTATATTTAGGTCAGTCTTGATCCGGCACAACAAAATGGATCTAAGTGTATTCAGTTAATATGCTGGTTAGACGATCGTCATCTTCCATGCGTACCACCGGTATCAGTTACAGTTCCTGCGGACTATCCCCTAACACCTCCGCGTTGTGTAATGGCACCCCATGAATACGCTACACCTTTCCTTTGTGCCGTTCAGAAAGCTTTGAACGCACGAATAACAAAACTTCCTCGTCGTTTCTCTGTGTCTCAGTTATTAGACACTTGGGAAATGAGTGTAAGACAAGCTAGCGCGCCTTCACAAACACCTATTACAGCCAGCACAGTATTAATGGGATTATAATTCATTTTGTGCGAATTATTTTATAAACATGAAAGTATTATAAAATATATACTATTATTCTCAATTTCATGTACAATTGTACATTTGTACACAATGTAAGTGTACACATTTTTCATATTCACAATTAATGCAAGTACATCTTGTATAAATAAGAACTGAAACATGATTATTATATGTTAATTTTAGCGCAGATCATGTATGCTTCTTTTTAACTCATTATCTTGAAAATAATAAAATGTTTTTTCAAGGAATTACGTATTGGTTAACCGACTCGGTAATCCCCATATCCCATACTGTTCATTGCATTCCGTTTTTACTTCAAATCTTTTTTTATTAATAACTTTTTAATAAACAACGACCGATGGCTAAAAATTTCTGAAGGTCACTCAGGAGAGTGACCTTAACAACATATCATACAATAAGATCATTGGAGGTGGATCTGGGCTAGGTCTGGGTTAAATCCAGTCTTACATTCATTCTTGTAACTACACTATTAAATATAAACGATGCTATGGGCAGCAATTTTAGATTCCGAGGGAGCAACTTGTGAGCAATTTTTTAAGATATAAATTGTTTAGAAACACTAATATTCGGCCCCAACTATTTTCCGGTAAAATCTTATTTACATACACATGTTGGTATATCAAATTCTTACCGTCTGCACATTCTATATCTAAATCGGTGTTATCACCAATTATTAGTATGTATTTATATATCAATAATATACATATACATATGTACAATGACTTCAGCTTCAGGTCATTTGAAAAAAGTGGACTTACGGGAGTGGAGCGGAATTAATTGTTGGTGGTTTATAAAATAACGTATTGAAAACATCGTAGAATGAAATTTGTAAAGAAAAATGTGTTTGCTCTTTCTCAGGTATTTTATTATTTATTTAAATTGTTATGTAAATATGTTATATATATACAAAAGAAATGGTTATATAACCTACAATGATAATTGAAGTTTTTATATGTACTAAATCACTTTTACAAAGGATTAGTATAGTGTTTTTTATGTACACATATTAAGTTATATAATAATGTGTCAAATAATTGGATCACTATTGATACAATACAATGGTTGTAAAATGTCACGATTGAAATCTACTGAGAACAGCGGAATATTTAAAACCACTATCTTGTCACCTCTAACTTTTAGTAATTTTTAGTTTTACGTAAGCTTATAAATAAATAAATTTAATATAAGTATTTTTTATATGCAACAGAGTACCTACAGATTAACACATTTCTTTAATTAATTTTATCTTCGGTTTAGTTTTACAGAAAAGTATAAATGTTACAGGTGGGAATGTATATTAAAAGGACATTTTCTACTAATAGGATTTTATTCAATGAAGAAAAATATTTAGAAGTAGCAGAAGTTAATGGTGTAAGTATTATATTAAACTGTCAACAAGAAATTTCTTGCTATTATATCAATTTATATTATGTATTCTCTAATGTTGTACAATATAAGACACTAATTTGTTCTTACCATTGTAATTAGGTACAAACAATAACATTAAATCATCCTACTACTCGTAATTCTTTATCCATGAATATGTTGAAATCTCTCCTGGAAAATATTAAAAATTGTGAAAATAATATGAATCTCAGGTCCATTGTTATCAGAGCTACTCCAGGGAATGTATTTTCAGCTGGACATAACTTAAAAGAATTGGTTAGTTATTAAACCACGAATCAGAGATGATGAGGGTCTGTTTAATATAGTAAGGATTTTATATTCATCACAGAGAAATGATTGGCTTGCGTCGTTTAGACTGCTAACAATGGGGAGTATCACAAGAAAATCTTTGAAACATGCTCAGAATTGATGAGATCAATTGCACAAAGTCCACTCCCTGTGATTGCTGCTGTGGATGGTTTGGCTTCTGCAGCTGGTTGCCAATTAGTTGCTGCATGCGATATTGCTATCTGTACTGAAAGAAGTTCTTTTAGTACACCTGGGTAAGTGGTTTTTAAATGATTAAATTACATAATTTTACAATATTAAATGTTTATTAAATATTATTTTAATATTATATTTTTTTTTATTATTCATAAAATATTGATTTCGCACAATTATGTTTTAGTGCCAACCTTGGAATATTTTGTTCTACACCAGGCATTCCATTGATTCGAAATGTACCCAAAAAAACTGCAATGTACATGCTTTTCACAGGTTTTACCATTAGTGGAAAAGAAGCATATGAAGTGGGCCTTGTAAGTAAAGTAGTGCCAAATGACAAATTAGGTAAGTCACTGAAAAATTCAGTTGTTAGAATATTCCAATTTTACCAAATACTGCATTTCATATTTAGAAGAAGAACTTAATACAATTACCACGGCTATAAATACAAAAAGTCGCTCAGTGATACACATTGGAAAAACATTTTTAAATGAACAAATGGACCTCGACATGTCGACAGCATATTTCTTGGGAACCGAGAAAATGGTTAATAATTTGAAAATGAAAGATGCTCAGGAGGGTATCAAAAGCTTCATTGAAAAAAGGAAACCTGTTTGGAGCCACGGCTATGAAAAAAATTAATATAATTAACCTTCATTAATTACTATACATTGATATAAAATGATTTGTATCAAAAGTTTATATAAACAATCACTTTGTCTTCCATACATGTACATTAAGTAACTAAAGTTTATCGCAATTTTCGTTTTATTAATAAAAATATTACACCTTTTGTTGCTACAGCTAGTGATCATCTGAAGTTATATATAAATTAGGTTTAATGAATGGATCAGTGTGGATGAGGCTTTGTCCTATGTATGACCATGTAAAATTCAGACTTACACTGAATCACCTCGTTCATGCATTATACTGTAATCAGGTTAATGAATATGTTATCATATGACGAAGTTCACTACACTAAACAGAGGTTCAAGAGATAACCTTTTGAAAAAAAATATGCGTATACATATAATAACCGTATACTCGCGTTAATAGGACATTTAAATAACTGAAAACTTTTAAGTTTTCAAAAATTCCGATATTTGATGTACACATCAATGCATATGCAATATTTTAGAATTTGTTCACTATTAAAAATGTGTTATGTCAAATGAAACTGTAGTGTTGATATATACACACGTGCATAATAGAAAGTTATCTCTATTGACAAGTATCGTGAGTACGTGTCTCTGAGCACGCAATAAAATTCATTTTAATGAGAGTACAAAATTATTACGAATTCGTGAGATTAATTAGATTGATTAATAGAAATTTCAGAGTAACAGTAAATGTTAATATTTTCAAAGTACAAGTAATAAAAAAATACATAAACATATTAATGTAAATTTACATTTTAGCATTTTAAGCGTTTTCATTTTTTTGTGAAAACAGTATTATGACCTTACTATGTTTAACGAAGGACTTGTACCGTTTTAGAACGTAAAATTGCAATCTACATTTTAGCCACATCAGTGTTTGTATTTTGGAAATATTGCTATTTTAACACTTCAATTACAATTTATAAAAAGCTTATGGCAAAGAAAAATTGTCATTGTAAAAGTAAGTAAACAAAAACATCGATAAAAATCAATTAGGTTTATCGGTATGTGTTAAAATGATGAATGATATAAAAATTGTAATCGAAAAATAATTATTTCGTTGCGCGGTCTGATAAAATTCTTTTTGAGTGACTAATATCTTCGGGAAATTTCCATCTAATTACGTACAGTTATCCGATATATTGTTTCTAAAAGTTTCAAGATATCAAACACGTACGAAAATTTCAACATATACCTACGAAATTGCTGTGCAAGTTTCGTGCTTGAAAAACTGCTTGCGATTCCAAATATTTTGATTTAAAATAAGAACATTCAATTTATTAATTGATTTTAAACAATTCAATGCATTAATTTTAATTTATTCTAATTCATTTAAACAAAACAGAATATGTTATGGGTGTGGGAGTATCGTTGTCTAGCTTCGTTTAAAGAAATAAAAATTCTGTAATTAAAGTAACATGAATAAGTCTTCTAAAACAAACTGTAAAATAGGTTTTCATGCGAGTAAAAATTATTACTTAAAATCATAAAATTATTCGTTAATACAAACATTCCTTATATGTGTTCATATCTTAAAGTTTGTTTGTACATATTTCTATGGATTACGGATTTTGTACATTTGGAGATCTAACAAAATTTCAATAAGATTCCACCGAGAAATCATTATACTTAAAAATATACTTTTATATTCTGTTATTAACGCACATGGTTATTAATAAAATTTCATTCAAATTGTTCCTTTTGATATACACACTAGAAAGACTACTTAGAACCCTTATTTGTTCTGAATAAAAAATTGATGTACGGCAGATCGTACTATTAGTTTTGGATTGAAACAAATCCTCCCGAAACTTTCTCATCAAATTTCTCAATAACTTCACAGTCTTTTTTTTTTATCACCAATTGTGCAATCTTTACATAATTCCTCTGATTCTTCAATAATAACTTACATACTTTTTAATTGAAACAATAAATCAACGAGATCTTAGAGAAAACAAGAGAGTAATCGATAGTTTTTTCCAGACCTTGTTTATCTATGTGTAGGTATAACGCATCTCGTATCTTATCGAAGAATACACGCATTGCACTGTTTTAAATCGTGGAAGGTCTAGCGAGATAAGAAAGTCGTGGTGGTCGTCTCCGCGCCGACGAAGATCGCGAAGGACGCCGATATCGCTCGTGCCATTAAAAAGATGTTTTTTCTTCTCTCCATTTCAGTTTTGTCTTTCGTCGAGAATCCCTCTCCCCGTTTGTTCTACGGTTGAGTTTATAAATTCGATTCAGTATTGCCACGTAAAGCCAGTACAACGTTGCAACGTGCAAACAACGCGCGCCCGCGATACATACAAGAACCAGTGACCAAAAAAAGGTGCAACTTTTCGTATTTCGAGATTATTATTCGACACGAGGCGAATATCTTGTGAAGGATTTTTTTTGCTTTGATGACTGTTTTCGAGCTGTTTGATCGTGATTGTATGTGGTTTCGGGCTATCTGGTATCCATACCGAAGACTGAACAGTGTTTTCAGAGGCCCACTTCCGGAAATTAAGACGACCGGTGACCGAAACCCTAAAAAGATTATCACTAAAAAGGAAATCGCCGAGCTGCTCTTCGAAAGCTGCACTGGTTCGTTTGTTTTTTTTTTCAATCTTAAATACGCATATGCAACATGATAAACTGACAATTTTTGACACTGGATAGAGAGTACCGTTCAAAAGATTAGGATTATATCTACGTTGAGCGGCGATAAATACAAATTGTTATCCCGATTATTTGGTTAACCTTATTTTTTGGACAAAGAATTGTTACGATGTCATAAATTTTTGTTATTCTATTTTAAACGGGACAATAAAAGCTCCCTTAACACAAAGACACGGGGAAATATCGATACAAAACTTTAATGCAGATAGCGAATGTAGTACAACAGAGATAGGAATAGAAATTGGAACGTATGCAACAGATAGGGTGCAATTAGTGAATTAGTTAAAATTCGTTGTTTAGATAGACACTGAGGATCGTATAGGTTGTGTCGATGATTTTTATCGTTCGGTTTATAAATAGCTCAGCTGTGGATGGTAAATATTAATAAACGAGCATACACCGGAAAAATAATTGAATTGTAAGGAATCGACGAATATAATAATATTATATAACACTGTTACGGTAATTAGATACTGAATGTTATAATACCAATCGAGTACGTTTACGATTCTTTCCCAGAAAACTGAATTTTAATTATTATCAAGTGCAGCTCCGAATCTGTGACTTAAAACGAGTACAAAATCAAAGGGATATATTTGTAAACTTTCGTTTACATGCTTCATATAGTTAAGTAACACCGTGTACATAAATTAGAGAAAATTGGAAATTTTGAAAACATGAAACATCATAGAAATTTATGTGAATAATAATCTTTCTACGAACGACATCATAATTTAAACACTGATAATATACTTCCTCTGAATTTTATGATTTTCTTTCTGCGTTGAATTCGCCCCTACAATTTTCGTTTTCAACAAAAGCCCTACAGTTCAAGAAAAACATAATATTACATATTATAGAAAACATATAAATATAATGTAATTATTTACATTTCATGAAAATGTAAATATTGTATTTTCAAAATGTGATACTAAAGATAAACGATAAAACACATCATTTTTATTTTGTTGCTAATTTGTAACCCGTAAACATTATAACCCAGATAGCACATGACGCCTTGAAGACGGCTTAAAGGCGCCTTAGACCTGAAATAGCCGTAAAATGAGCGTCTTAAAGTGCATTTGGCTTACTGTAAAATATATCGTTGTACGTATTCGTTATTTCGTGTTACAGCCTGTAAGAAAATGGCCGCTATTCCGCAGGGTGCATTTGCAGCGTGCAAAGTCCGCCGCAATCTTGAACGCAATACTGTGATAACGCCGATAGAGGAGAAAGAGAAATCGGGCAAAGAAAACATGTTCAATGTGAGGTCCCCCCAGCAAGGTATTTATCGAGATTACACTAGATGTCTTTTCTGTCTTCGGGACTGCTAGATCTGCCGGCAGACATTATAGTTATCCATTCCCAGAAAGTACATGACGCCTTAAAGACGCCCATTTTACGGCTATTTTAGGTCTAAGGCGCCTTAAAGCCGTCTTCAGGGTGTAATGTGCTATCTGTGTTCGTACTGTATAATTTATATGTCATACCGAAGTTACACTATCCCACAGTATTTTCCTCTAAACAAATTTACATAATAAAAAGAGAATGTATATTATGGAATTAGTAAAAGTAGAATATTTAGAAAAAAATTGCATGACATACATTATACAGACTCCTTTCGATTATCGTCTGGTTTTTTCTATACGATTATTGTCCAGGCGTTATCCTCACCACTGGAGAGGGGGGCGTGAAATCTGTCAAGCGCATACTTTGTTGTTCTTCCGCTTTTGTTGCCGAGGCTCGGGGTTTGGGCAAAAAAATGAATTTACGAGGGTCTGAAGTATTTCTCCCTATAAAATTATTGTCCCGGCGCGGACCCAAGGTTCAGGACGATAATCGAGAGGAGTCTGTAATACGGTTTAAATAGTCAATAACATTTATATAATTTAACGTTTTTATACGCAGGTAGGGAGCTCACGCCGCTGAAGTACAATAGTAAACTGATGAACAGCATCTGGGGACTATACAATCGTTACTCTGTGCACAATTTCAAGAAAAACACCGACGGCGATGACGGGGTGTTTGGGACGTTCGTGGCGGTTTCGGGGGCGGTTTTCAAGACCCACGCACTCGCCGCGAACACGGTGACTGCAGCTGCAGTCGCCAAGAACAATCCTTGAAGAAAAAAAAAACCAAAAACTTCAATTGTGCGTTTTTCAATAACTTCGGACCAATCGTGCTAATTATGGTTATCCAATCACAATGTATATAAATGATCAGAAGCGAGGCGTCGAGGTTCGAAAATTTTTATTGGAAAAAACGAATAGAAGCGTACACGATAACCTTTGCAACAGTATTGTTTGGAACATTTATTCCAACAACTGTGTTACAATATTTTTTGTGTTTCTATTGTTATCGACATAATAGAGGTGAGAATGACACATTGAGTAATGAAAGTATCTAATTAGCAATTGGATAGTCAATGATTTACTATGTATATAAAAATTGGGAATATACATGTACATATTAGCAGATGTGTATGAAATATACAGCAATCTGTGGAAAACTGAAACATGTACACAAATTGTAAACAATTCATTATAACAATGTCGATATGAAATTGTTTTTTTGAACAGTGTCATCGCTCACTGTACGTACATGTGACTGAACTTGTGAGGACTGTTACGATTTTCATTAATTAAATGGACTGTTCAAGATAATGCAAAAATGTCTTACACGAAGAAGAATAGTATACGGTCTCATGGAAGTATACATGTATATAATAAATCACCAATTGTATATTTTATTATAATACTGTTGAACAAGCCAGCAGCACTGTGTCAAATAACATTTGTATTGCAATTGAATAAACACAATTAAAAGTTACAGATAATTCTATTTTTATCATTATTCGTGTGAAATACTAACCGAATTTTGTTTCATATGCATCGAACAATATTTAATCAGACAAACTCTGCGAGGACAAAGTCAAGTTAGAAGTCGTGCCCACGCAATGTATTCTATCGCACCAATCGTTCTCGTTTAGTTTTCGAGACGATTTATTTATCGTGTATGTCCTTGGTTTGCGATGTCGGCGGAATTCATCGATTCTTTTGCAACTGTCGCAGACATTTAGCTGCAAATCCACGGAAACGGAAGTCGAAGACGTGACACCCAAGTCTTCCTCGGTGCTGGTATTGTCAGCCGTATCTTGCTCGCTCAAATACGAGACAGTTTGTGGCTGATGGGCTCCACTATTTAAAGAAAATTTCTTTTCGAATTTATCGTCCGTAATCGTTTCAATATCGCCGTTTCTATTTTTCGACTTGCACGAACATTCCCCGTAACATTTTTCCTTCGACCACGGATAATTTCCTCGATTCACTCTTCCACGGACCGAGAACCTGTTCTCACTTGGGTTTCTAATGATTTTCTTCGTGATCACAGCGTTTTTGATCTTCGAAAAGTAAAAATTCGGATGTTTCGAGTGGAAATTGAAATTTTTACGTTTTCGTCGCGGTTTCGACGCGTTCGTCTGCGTGGATGCAGCCGCGAGCAATTTCTTTTCATTTAATAAACAAATTTCTTTGCCCGTTAGACTGACTTTCGTTTCGGTGTCGCAAACGTCTGGGAGCGCAGAATCTTCCACGCATGATTCCACTTCGCAACTTATATCGGAAGATCGTCGAAAAAGATGTTTGTTTGGGAATTTTCCTTTGCTGAGTTTCCTGCCGAAACTATGTTTACCCGATCTTTGATCCGTTTGACTGTTCTCGTCTTTCTGATTTGTACGAATTTTTAATGGCTCGGTCCTTTTTCCAACGCGAAATATGTATTTTAACGGTGAGAGAAATGGCATATCTAGTTTCGTATGTCGGCAATAAACCTGCTAATAAAATTTTTAATGAAAATTTATCGTGTATAATTATGATTTATTGCCATTATTAATTTTATTGCTAACGTTTAAGCCAAATTCAACTAATTTTTTTAATACGGCTTGTGTCATTTAGTATTAGTTTGAAAAAGGAGAATTAACAATAATGTAATTTCCGGGATTGTTTTCAAACGATATGTTTAAATTCAAGATTACTGGACACTTTACTGTATATTAGAGACTTAAATACCTCTCGCTCGTTTATTGATGTCTGTCCGTATTCCGATAAATGCGTTGGTTGTACCTTTCTAATATACTTTTTTAATTTGTGAAAGATATTTGGCTTGATACGACTGATCTTATTGCTAGTTAAAATGCTTCCATCGTGCGCAAGACAATTATGTGTCAACCCACCGATTTCTGCCCGCAAGTCATCCAAGTTATTGGCAAGCACTTTGATTTGATCAATCACCTGCTTCATTTTTCGTTGATCCCGTCCACATATTTGAATCGCCATATTAATCCCAACACAGTTTTTATCGACACTTCGAAACGAGATTACGTTTCGACAAATATAGTTCAGCTCTATTTTCGTGAGATGTACATAGACCAGTGGTAGGTCTCAATAGGTCGATACATGATCAAGGGTAAGGGAAATGTAATTAATTTACACATTGGAATGAACTTTCGACAAAGTCAATTATGTCATAACCACGTACTATACATGTATAACCAAAAACAAGAATTTGCTTATAGTTATTGAAGGGCCTCGAGTGAGGCGCGAGTATCCACTAGTGACGCATTTCAGAGCAACAATTTGGTCGTCATCAACGTATCTGTCTCACTCTATAACTAAAAAAGAATATATTGTATTCTGATTTTCCAAATTTTTATATCTTCCATACCACTTTATTATGTTTCAAAGAGTTCAAACAAAATAAGTTATTAGCTAACGTTTAGAGTTAGTCACAAAAATCGCTGACATTACTTCCACGATCAAAATCATACATATAAATCCATATTTTAAAATGCGATCTTGGTTTCACAATCTTAAAAAAATGTGAAAATGTCGATATAATTTCTTCTAATGTAGCAATATTCATTCGAGAGAATTAATAATGTAATTAAACAACGTATCTGTTACTAACTTTGTTTAAAAAGACATCTGCTTTATAATTTATAGCGAATATGAGAAGTTTTTCTTAAATACGCGCATGTTTTATTTGATCCAATCCCTGTATACAATTTTTGAAACATTGTTAAACTTTTAACGAATTCAGACCTTTTACTCTAACAGAAGATACATTTGTTTTCCGAGTTAAATTTAGAAAGTTACGTGAATCAGTCACTGGTTCATTAAAAAAAATGTAACATATCTTTCCGACTCAAAACCTTCACAGTGTCAGAACACTAAGAGAAACAATTTCTGATTCGTATTCCAACATTCGTCGAAGGAAAATGGGTAATCACCGGATTCGTATTAAATATCATTTATTTGATTCGTCGTATGTCCTATATAGGTACATTAGTCGTCAGTCGGTGTCGCGTATCATAGCAGATTGGCTATAAACGTATGAAGTTTGGTAATACAAAAAGAAGTTTCTCCATCCTAGCATGTACATCGACACATAATACTATACTTGTATTTGATTTTTATGTACAAATTACATTGGCTTCCGTTTAACACTTTGACTGCCACGTCACCTAAATATGGGTGACACGTACATTGAAAAGTGGCTGGGTTATTTAAATACGGTTACCAAATTTCTGCGTAAAATTAACGTCGCAGTATAATTTAAAAGAAGACCAACAGCCTCTGTAACCACACCAAATATTTTCGACGATTTGTAACTTAAAAAGACCAAATAAAGCGTGTCACGCTTCGTACGACCTTTTTCACTGTGACAGTCAAGGTGTTAAAATAATTATCATTCTTTCGAGGGACATTCCGTGAACCTCCAAGCGGCTCGCCCGTGTCCCACCGAAAAGCGTCTTCTATCACAACAGCGAAATAGTTAAGATGCGAAAAAGTGTCCGTAAAAATCGATAAGAATGACAAACATTGCGCGCACAAAGATTAAAAAAAAAAAAAAAAAAAAAAAAAAAAAAAAAAAAAAAAAAAAAAAAAAAAAAAAAAAAAAAAAAAAAAAAAAAAAAAAAAAAAAAAAAAAAAAAAAAAAAAAAAAAAAAAAAAAAAAAAAAAAAAAAAAAAAAAAACAAGGAATTCTCATCCCTAAGCAGTTTCCGTTCCCCCCGTCTTATCGTTTCGTTGTTCGTTCGCGTATTCGCGCACTACAAAACCCGAGCTGTATAATGGCATCGTAATCGTACATGAATAAATTACTCGTACAAAAAAAAAAAAGTGGGATTGTTACGTTTGCATCGTACCATCACAATGGACCATAATGTTCACAGTATCGCGCACAAGCGTTTCTGGAATGCTGTTTTCGGCCGCACGCGTGTGTTTGTGTCTGGTCTGTGTATGTATGCTACGTCCCTAAACCATAGGTGCAGGACCACGTGTACTTTTGATCTAGTAAGTTCTTCTAAAATCGAGGTAATCGGGTTGCAATATTACACCGTCCACGAATCTCGTTTCAGCAATTCTACTTTAGGCTCGAGTCTTCGGACAAGACGTCGGATCTAGTGACTGCCAAGCAATTTCGAAATAAAACATACTCACTCCCCCCCTCCCCAAAAAAAAGAAACAAAAAAACAACTTCACGGATGACATTTCTGATCAGCAACGAAAAACAACTTCCAAAGCCTAACTTCCTTCGGATCGGAACCACCGTCGATTCCCGCGTCGTCCTTACCTATAATACTGATAGCCCTAAACGAAACGGAAGTTCAGCTAAGAAAAGAATCAGTAGCCCACGCTTCCTGTCGGGAAACCCATCTTGTCCACCGAACACGAGCTAAGCATACAATCCCCGTTCCTCCCCGTAGCGCATCGAGCGCGTCCAACATTTAATACTTAGCAGCTACACGGTAAATTAAACGCGTCTAACGATATAATATATATATATATAGATATCTATAAATAACATAGAAGACGAAATGTCAGAGAAAGAAGAAGTTAGAAGTGATCGATTCGATTTCAGGCTGCTGTCATCATCGAGCAATAGAGACATAGAGGAGGCCATCGTCATCACTCTCGTACTCTGTTGCTTGGCCATTGTCCGCTTCATTTCTTGATCCCTCTTTCTCTTCCGTTTTGTGTTTTCTGGCACAGCCTTGTTCCTCCTACTCCATGGATCGTCTGTCCCTCGTTCTTCGGATCCTTCCTCGTACCGCTAAACGAAGAGGATTTTTCACGGCGACGGTTTTTCGGGCGTTTCAGAGAGGACACGGATCCGAATGGACGCGTATCCTGGTCCTGGAGAGAATTCTCACCCGGAATACAGGACACTTTTACCACCCCCAGAGTGGCGTCTGGCGATGTCTTCCTGTTTTCACTTCTGAGACTGTTCCTCGGTCCCGGTCATCGGCTCGTTTCACAACGAATTCCCCTTCGAAAACACTCTCGGGCGTGGATGTGCACAGGTGTCGTGCGCTTTCCATGGACTAGCTCAGTTTAATCGGCCGTAGTACGGTCTGTCGGGGATTCGGGGAGGAATATTGGGTACGGGACGCCTATAACACAGACAGTGATTAAATACTCGATGATATAAATCCCGACGGTCGAACACGACTACCATAAGTGAATATAAGCGGCGATGAGAGGTTGTGAAAACGTGTGGACAGATTTAACCTTCGAATAGGAATTACGAGAAGTTTTTTGTCTTTTTATTAAATCGTGACTAAACGATCTGTTGCGAACGATTAAAACGATGTGTTTTAGAGCTTCGATTGTTCGGTTCAAACGACAAGTACAACTTCTGTTTTAGAGTGAATCGTTAAACACTTTTTGCCTGTTGTTTATGGAATAAGTACGAGAATTTTAATTCTTTTTTTTTTTTGTCAATATTTTCAATTATTAAGACATATGTAAAAATTTCGCTTCTACTACTTTTTTTACTCTCGGATGACGCATGTAGGAAACTTTGAACGTTTGCTGAAACACAGGCTAAAAATTTTCATGGAATATTCAACCGGAATTTCGGTATGAGTCAGAAATGACCCGGCTCCGTTTTCCGAGGATTAATTCACGAAGAAATTTTGTTAAGCGTTTCATCTTCATAGACCAAGAGATAGCATCAATGATAACCAAAATACACTATTTCGTATTTGAAGGGTTAAATGAAGGATGATCGACCGGCGTCCAATTAAATGCTAATAAATTCTGAATTTATCTTCAGTATAAATTAAACATCGACTTAACATTTTCATCTAATTGGACATCGTGAGTACTATTCACTTTATTCGGTAATGGGATGGGTATGAATATCGTAAAATAGAGTGTCTCTTCAGTCATGTTAGTTTCTTAACGAACAAAGTAATAGCACTGAAAAAGTAAGGGATACCAGGGTAGAAAGTAACAGTTTTTGGTTTTCATGAAATAAACAAATCTGTATTTTAGCTAGAGATTTAATGTTAATTTATACGGATAATTTGGAGATTCCAAATTAATTCTATAGCGATGTAATGTTTTTATTGACTGGACGAATTGTTACTTTTATTTAAAAAGTAACAATTCGCTGTCTCTTTTATTTAAAAAGTTATGTTACAACCCACCCCTATCACTTTTAACCCCAGTTTCCCCTACGTGAAACACGATGTATAATCGTCTCCACTACGAAGAGATATGAACAAATGATGATAATGGGATTGGATATGAGGCCAAGTGCGCAAAATAAAAATACATATGAGCAAACAATAACAATAGAAGGAACACGAATGGGGTTGATGAATTGCCAAGGGAATTCTCAACAGGTTTGCACAACATGCTCAAGCAGTAGCGAGAAACGCATGCAAAAATGAATGTGCAGTGAGCACGTTCGAATCCTTCAATTATCATTCCTTGATATACCTCGCATATGCGAATTCAAATTATAATTTCCAAAGATTCGAACGTGTCTCGAGCACGCGGTAATTATGATTAACTTTATTGACATTACTTTACAAGTAAAAATCCTGGATGCATGGTAAGAGGGAAGTATTAAAGGTCAGTGGTACATTAAAAAACAAAACAAAAAGAACGCAGAACGCGAATACGCATTCCAGCGTGCGGGGAACATCAGGATTTCCCGCATTCCAATTAAAAGAAATAAAAATAGTCTTCGTCACACTCAAGGTTACACAAGATGAAGCGAAATTAGAAGAATTAGTTGATCACGCAATAAACCAGCGTGTATATACAGGGTAATGAAGAAAAAGGGTTCATACCTTCTAGGATAGAAGTATTCGGCAAATAATTGAACAAAATTCTTAATAAACATGGGTCGAAAAATTAATATTTTGTTGTTTCGGTTAAAACGATTGCCCTTCTCCCTTCGGAAGCTGTCATATCGTATGGAAACAATGGATTACCTTATCATCTTTTCGTTTCCTGGTTACAGAAGGTTTTCTACAATTTTTAATAGGTTTATTTTTTACAAATTTCTTTATTCTTTCCATACGGTACGATAGGTCTTGAAGTTCTAACCGAAACAAAAATTTGTTTAGAACCTTGAAAATATTAATTTTTGGCCCCACGTTTATTAGGACTGTCTTTGCATCATTTGGCAAATACTATCTACTCTAAAAGGTATGAACACTTTTTTTTAATCATCCTGTATATACAGAGTGTCTTATATAAATGTGACCCTTCGAATATCTTTTTTAATTGTGAAAACGCAGAAAGTATTTTACACGTAATTTGAATGGTATTAAGTGGTCAGTATCTGCAGGTGTTTTTTCTGAAAGTTCCCAAGATCACCGACGTTTTTTTTTCTTGAAATAATTCAATATTCAGATATATACTATGATACGACCTTGACAAAGTACACAGTTATTTGAAGAAGAAAAAACATACATGACCTTGAAAACTTTGAGAAAAAAACAACGCCTGCAGGATACAAACCACTTAATACCAATCAAATTACATATAGAATATTGTCTGCGTTTTCGCAATTAAAATAAAAAATTTGGGGATCACGCTTAAATAAAACACCCTATGTATTAGTAATTAAGACCGTGTTAATCGTTAGTCGAACGATACGGAAGTTCAGTAACATGGATCCGGCCGAACCACGTCTCATCAATGAGAATCTTCCCCGGGCGGAAATGCGTTTCCGTTCGACGGACATTTACAATGTTTTCTCTCGAATTCTCATTCTTTTATATATAGAGATATATATATATATATATATATATTTATAATCTATAAAATGTTATTCCCTATATACACATTTATATTGCAGCAAAACAGTGTTACGTGGGATGTGTCGTAACGGCGCGTTACGACGCGGTACAACGGTGTGTTTTCGTGAATCGTGTGAGGTGCACAATCCGAGAGTGGATTTTCATTTTCTTTTTCTCGCTAAGTAACCCCGTGAACGTTTTCCGGGCCGTTGCTCAACAGACCGCAACACACACGCCGAGGACGAGTGAACGGAACCGAGAGGTGAAATTCGCAACGAACGTTCCGTTTTACCGTACGACGACCAAAACTCTTGTTCTATATAAAAAAAAATCATACGGTACAAAAAACCAGATATCAAAAAATCATTTAGAAATCTCGGTAGACGCTAAAAGTTTGCCTGGTCACGCATCGGTACGAAAAAACATTTGATTTCTCACTCGATTTTTCTAGTCCCGTGTTCGCCAAGAGTTTGTGTGTGTGTTTTTCCTGATTTCGGAGTGACGCAAGGGTTACTTAGACCGCACGACGACCCGCCGTCGACGTTGAACTTATTATTTAATCGATACTCGCGAAATAACGTCGACGACGAATACCGTCGTGACTTACGCTGTTTGTTTGTTAATTTCTTAACGCGTTCAACGATTTTCGCGCGGCCATAACGCCGTAATATGGGGCCCGAGGTGTACAACAAGCGGATCTTAACGTCAATCGAACCATTTTTCTCGCGTTACACAGTAGCAAGCTTTCGTTAACTAGAACATCACTAGAGTTTAAGGCCCGTAGATGGAAGCATGTATACAATAATCCGTGACGTAAAAATTATGCGTTTCTTTCTCTTCCTCTCTTTGTATATGCGAGTCGCGCGAACGGAGATCGAATGGAACTGATTTACGAGAATACGAACCATCCGGAGAAATGATATTCGAAATAAATACATAAACTCGTGAAGGGTTCTTCTTAAACGCAACTCTTAGAAAAATAGATTATTACGCGCTGAATTACAATACGACGACACTTAAGGGAGAATTTCGTACTTTGTCGTTTTGCTTCGTAATTTTATTTTCGAGAATAATTTGTGAACGATTAGAGAATCGAAATTTTGTTCGACACAATCGAAGAATTTTAAGAAAAGGAAACGAGTGTGCCTCTCTTCGGAGCGTTATTATTTCGTTGGTTTTAATAGGGTATATGCATGCTAATTTTAGAAATAATTACAAACGGTTGTTTACGGTGTTTCGGTCAATTATGTTCAAAATAAAATGCTAAGAGATATTACGAATCCTTCGTTTCCGGATACGAAGTTACCCCCTTAAGCCACCGAGGAATTAATTGATCATCGTGAACGCGCTCGCATTTGCTTCTCGATGCTACAATCAAATATGCCAGCTACAATGACAATATTGTTCTAACGTTCGCAAGAGAATTGATCATCGTTCCGCTTGCATCCATCTGTTTAGTGGCCTCTAGCAGTGTCCACACGGAGAACATCGCTAGAAAAATCGTTAACGATAACATACATGATATTTCCATCGGTTCCAGCCGCGAAAGCCGAGGGTTCACTTCTCGACGACGATCCAATTTTATGCTCGACGCATAATTATCCGTTTAGGTCGCACGTCGCAGGTACAAAAACAAAAGTCACGGAAGGCTTTCTTTTTTTCCCGAACAAAAAATCTGTTTGATCTTATAATTGACGGGTCTGAGCGCGAAGAAACGTCGAAATGAAATCAACGACGATTCGTCGAAATTCTCCGCGATTCATAGTAGGTGTATCTTCGCTTATCGCCTTTCGTTGTAATGTTTGTAACATAGATTCCTCCCAGCCGGAACCATCGACGAGTTTTCTTTTTTTTTTTTTTACACAATCATTTTTCCCGTTTCTCTTATATAGACGCCTCGAATGCTCGTGCGTTTGAAAGTAAATGGAATGTAAGGATAAGTCTTCTGTAGTTTTGATGATCGAGCGCACAGAGTGTTCCGTAGAAGCTGATCCCGATTAGCGTTAAAAAGTATGTCGAAAATGGAGAACAAAAACATCGAGATTTCTTTAACATTAATACCGATCAGTTTTATTATTAATCAATATTTCAATTAACTGTTAAGAAAATAACGACCTAACTTTATTCCAACATAGGTAAATGGAAATTTATTTCAGTGTACAGAAATGATTCAGTGTTTGCTTGTTATAGGTTCATTGGTTGAGACTAGCAACACGTTTGTAGAGAGCAGTAGAAAATGTTATGTGAATGTTCCAGTTTAGTTTTAATTAACCAGAAAAATCGCTTACTACCAGTTAGCCCTATGTCATGATGGGGATAGTGATTTCAAGACGGTCAATCAAATGTGATTA